AGATGCATCCAAAAATTGTGAAAAAGAGTTTAAAAAGTTTAGCTTGACAAATGATATTTCTTTATTTGGCATGAAAGTTTATATTTATTCAGTAATCAAACTTCATCCTAATAAAAGAAGCATTTCTAAATTGCTTTTGAAAAATAGTCACATATGGATTGCATTATGTATGGAGGTGTTTTGAGGCCAGAAAACATATTTTTTGTTCTCTGTCTGCAGCTGAGTGGAATGCTGGTGGGTGACCATGGCTCCTAGGTGTGGACATCATTACAAGCCCACAACCTGACTCTACATGCAGTATACACTGAAAAAGAAAGCTTTTCAAGCATACCAGGACTCCATACTTTTCAGAGCAGAACCCGAGTTTTTAAAATTATTTGGACACTTAAGTTTTTCTCTTGAACTCATTTATTCTTTTGATTTCTAATGTCCGATTTCTGAGGATTTTCAAATTATTCCTAGATCAAGCAAGCAATATTTTCAAAGTAAAACAACTTAAAAATACTTCATTAAAAAAAAACCAAAACAACAAACCATAAAACCTGGCCCCAAAATAAGCACTTTTCCCTAATTTTCTCTCATTCAGATGATGGAAATCTCTATGTTAAAGAGCTGATGTTCTGTCAACATAAATCTAAAATACTGCTTTTTCAATAAGTACAATATTTTCCAACCTCCATCATGTAGACATTAATTCCAAAACTCAAATAAGAGGAAGATTAAAATTTCTTAATTAAACAAAATTTTGCCAACATGAAGCACACTCACTTAATTTTCTAGTACATTTTAAGAGAAATTAATTCAGAATAACCTCAGCTTTTTCTGGTACTACTTTATAAGGCTTGATATGAAGCACTATGCTACTTAAATTAGAAGTAACATTATATATATAAAAATTATATTTTTCATATATCATCAGCATTTTCCTTGCTGGTTGATGATGAAGGTTTTTATCCATTACTTTTGGATATATCTGAAATCCAGAGGAAACTGGATTCTTTGAGTATCAGTTCTTTTCTATGACAAAACAAGATGTTCTTCCCAGGTAAGCAAAGAAGCTCACATGCCTCAGCAGGGATGTAACAATGGATGCTTCCCCACATGGCCCACACCACACACACTGCTGAGTATCTTGCTTTGGCCCCAAGTCATGAATCACTTCTGAGACACTGCTGATCTTATCCATCAAGTCAAGAAGACAGCAGTGTACACCACCAGAAACTCAGCAATAGTTGAGTCAGTGCTTGGTTCTAGATTTGTTAGAGCTCAGCTAGAAAAGTTGCTGCTGTGTTGGTGAAGCTCTTTTCTCTCCTTTACAGGAGAGTTCATAACAGCAGGCAAAGCAGTTCAGATGTGCTCTGTCTCTGTTGGACAGCTTGCCTTCTGACCTGGAGGAACATGTCCAGGAGTGAGAGGTACTGGCCTTCTAGGTGTATTAGGGCCAGGTTCTCAGCTGTCAGAGGTCACTTGCATCTCCCTGAGTCATTAAAAACTATTCCAATTTACTCAAGAAGAGGCTTTGGCCCCTGTGAGTTTTGGTTTCCCTGCAAAGGCTTTTAACAAGCTGTCAACTGTCCTGGCAGTGAGGATACTTTGAGTAGTACCCAAAGTTAGCAGTAACAGACAGGAGCTAAGCCAAATAACATCTTTCTCTGCAAGAATAAGTATAGCATTTCTCTTAGGCTTACACAATTCTTACTGTTCCATTAAAACAAAGAACGACTCACACAGTGAATACCAGCAAGAAATGAGAGAGAGACAAAAAAAATAAAAAAAGGCAAAACAACAGCAAGCAGGGAGTTGCAATCAGTCAGGTTCACAGTACACACCACTACCATGCAATGACATTAAAGCTCTTCATCTTAAACCTATACCTGTACCACAAAAACATGCAGATTTCCATAGGACTCTCTAATACTAAATAATTAAACAACATTTCCCCATGAGTATTCCAGCTCCAATTAGAAGCCCTGATGAGAATCAACAGAATTTCAAGTCTGGGTATGGTAGGAGGAAGAAGTATTTCCCTTTCAGCACTGGGTGCTTTTTTAACCAGTCTTTGGTTGGGATCTAACCAGCACAGCTGAAACTTTGGAGCAAACCCAGGGAATGTTTTGTTAAAGATTCCAGCAGAAATAAAGGGATCTTCCAAGCTGGAAATTATTCTGGATACCTGAAAGAATGATGAGGGAAAAAGACATCTTTTCTCCTGCCTCCCTCAATCTCAAACAAATAAAAAGAGACATAACATTTTTTAATGTCCTTTTAAAATTATTTTTTTTAAAAATTCTACTTTTATTCAGTCCAGATGCAGCTGCAATTATTTATCTTGTTGGTACTCAAATTCATTGGTGTATTTTTGTGAATGAGCAAGCAAATACTTGCAGGAATAATTCTACTTTCCAGCTGTCAAAGAAATCTGAACACTTGTCTTGCTTGACCCAAGGTGCATACTTGGAACGCTGTGGATTAAGCTAAGAAAAGAAACCAGATGAGGAGATATGGTATGGGATATTCAGCTGCAAGGAAAGGAAGATGGATCTTGAGGAGGGAACACAACTTCTATACCAGGAGTTGTTTCCTGCAGTGTTTCTTAGTGTGCTTTGAGGCAGTGTGAGAGCTACTCCAGGTCACCAGCTCTGCCTAGATGCCTGAATGCAGTAAGGCATTAGGTGGACATACCTGCTCTGCAATTGTTGCTCAGAAATATCATCTAGGAAAGGCAATGCCAGAGTGTAAATGACATCCCAGGAAGATACAGCAGGGGCAGCTTGCCAGCAGCAGTGCCTGGAAGCGCCTGCAGGGCAGTGCCATCGTGGGCACCAAGAGGAGCTCGGCTCAGCCGCAGAAACACTTCCTCCAGCACCGCTCGAGTGCTTGGAATGTGCCCTGGGGAGAGGGCAGCACAGCGCCCCAGTCTCTCTGGGGCTGGAAATCAGAGTGAGAGACAGAGAGCAGAAGAGACCTGAATAGACCCTTTCAATTCAGTACAACTGCTTCAGAGAAGAAAATGGGAAAGAGCACAGTCTGCCAGTATACTGAGAGGTGGGAATTGTGATGTTTTATTTGGAATCACGAAGGAAGGACATCAATAAGTTAAAAACAAATACAATAAAATAAAAACAATAGCATTTTTATGAATAAAAAAAAATCCTACAAATTCCCTAGGCCTCTCCTTCTACCAATCTAGATGTCATTTGCTGTAATTCTTTGCCAGTTGTCCTTCCCCCATTAATTGTGTTTGAATTTCAGTGGCTCCCGCACACCAACTCATTTTGTCTCTCACGCTGCCACCTACCACTGCACTATGGCCACTTACCCTTTGACTGAAGGGACTGGTTTTTTTAACAAGTTGTCGCTAAATGTATGTGAATTATTGTAAGGAGGCCTAATTTACGACCTTGCTAAGCACTCGAGCACTAAGGGAAGGCAAGCATCGGTCTTAGCAAAGAGCAAGCTATCGCTAAGTACTGCGAAGGGCAGAAACTTGGCATTTTGCCTAGCTCCGACATCCCTAATGTAGCAAATCCTTTCACTTTAATTCGTCTTCCCCACCTGTAAATAAAGCTACCTCTCAGCGAGGTGAGATCCGGGCCTGTCTGAGGTCCCAGGTGGGTGCTGACTGCTGGTGACCGAGGAGCAGGGCTGGTTTGATGCACTGGCAGTGACTTATGCCCAGCAGCAAGGAGGGCACGGACCTACGCGCACCACCTGCAGCTCTCGTGTGGCTGGCCAGGCTTTCCTCGCCTTTGCTGTTTGCTGCATGATGCCCGCAGCTGGAAGCGGCAGCTGACAAACTTTTAATGAGCCAGCCCAAAAGTCAGCCCTCGGGTCAGAGGCCGCTCCTGCCCTCAGCTCCTGCGGGTAGCTCCGTGTGCCGCCCTGGGCCGCAAGAGAAGGGCGCCGGCACCGGAGCGCTCGGAGGACGGGGGCCCGGCCCGGGAGGTGCGGGCTGCTCTGCCGAGCTCTGGGGTCCCTGCAGGGCTCTGCCCCTCGATGCCCCCAGCCCGACGCTGTCTGCAGATTCGGGCAGCTGCAGCGCAGAGAGATGTTCCCGGCTACTGCTGGGTCCACCAAACGCTCGGTCTCTGCCGGTTTCTGCCTCTGCTTTCGAGCTGCCCTGGGACTCCGAGGGGGCTGGCTTGGAGCGGTCCCGCTCCGCTCTGCGCTGCCCCCGCGGCCGCCCCGACGGCCGGGCGGCTCGGGCCGGCTCAGCCTCGGCGGGACGCGCCGCTCCTCCGCCGTCCCATCGCGGCCGGCTTGAGGAGCCGCCGGCCCCCCGAGAGACACAGTGACGGGACATCCGAGGTGTCTCACCTCTTGCTGGACAAAAAAAGAAAAAAAGACAACCTCCCTCAGAACAAGCCCTCAGTGAGACAGAGCCGTGAGCGCGGGGCTGCAGACCGGGAGCCACGGTTTAACACCCTCTGCACGCAGACATTACCACAGGGATTTTTTGTTTCTTTTTTTTCCCCAATGCTGCGAAATTCCCGGCATACTGCCGAACCTCAGAAAGCCAGTTTCCAAGCGGGAGGGCCGCAAAGGTGGCTGTCTCCCTCCCGGCCAGGGCAGGCCGGTCAGGGGTTCCCCGCAGCGGGTCCGCCCGCCCGGCAGGCTCATGGGCAGAGAAGCGCCCGGCGTGCGCGGAAGGGCGGCGGAGGCGGTGGGAGGGGGGTAGGATTTAATTTTTCTTAACTGTCATACTTTAATGAGGATGGAAAATGTGAATTTTCTGTGCATTCCAGGAACAATTCCTTGGGGTGGTGACCTTTAGCACCGATTCTCTGAAGACAGGAAAGTAGTCGAGTGTTTATCTGGATGACTGAAAGCTTTCCCTGGTGGAAGTTTATGGAAGTGTTAAAAGGGGCGGATAACACGGGCTTTGGAGGCGCTTGTCCAATGATCTGGAGGGGCTTGGAGAGCAGATCTCAGCTGGCAGACATTTAAATGGGAGACAGCTCGGCGCTGCTGCAATTTGTAGGCAGGATTCGACACACTCTCTCTCTATGGACTCCCGGGCAGCTTCGGGCTTCCACGCCACCCGCTCCGCCGAGTGACCCACCGGGAAGAGCCCCGCAGAGCCGCAGGCCGCGCCGAGGAGCCGCCGAGCCGAGCCGAGCCCCGCCGAGGAGCCGCCTCCGCGCAGGTGAGCCGGGACGCGCCGCGCTGAGCGCGTTTACAGCGGGCGCGCAAACGGGTCCGGCAGCTGCGGAGTTCAACCAGTCTCTGTGGGAGGCAAAGTTTTAAGCTCTCTATCCTACCTTCAGAGAGGGGCAAGGGAAGGAGCCGTTCACCGGTGTCTAGCAAAATTCCAAGGAGTCTCGGTTTTGCAGGGGGCGACGCCCGTCCCTCCCGTCAGCGGGAGTGAGGCGCGCCGACCTTTCCGCCGCAGTGCTGGGCATTAGGGCGCCGTTACATCTCTTTCCCCTCGAAAGCACGGGGACTGCAAAAGCCCCGTTAGCTCTGCCTCTCATCTCCGCCTACAGCATCACTCCCGACAAATTGGATTCGGCGCCCACCCGAGACACGGAAAAATCCCGGCCCGGCCTCTGCACGGAGTGGGGCGGGGGCAGATCCCCAGGTGCCAGCCCCATCCCATCTCGTCCCGTCCCGCCGAGCTGCCCTCTCCGTGGCCGCTCAGCCCCCGTCTCTGTCCTGGCCCGTCTTTGCAAATCTCTGCTCCTCGGAGGAGAGGAAGTACCCTCGTACCTCAGGAGCTCCCGGGGCGGGCTGCGTGCCGCCCGGGAGACTCGGTGTGTACCAGGGGTCGGGTTCCCCGGAGCCGGGGCTCCGCACCGGCAGAGCGCCCGTGGCCGGGACCGGACCGGGCGGGACGCGGCTCCGCCGCTGCTCTCGGCGACCTCCGCCGCCTCTCAGCCCAGCCTTCCCACCTGGCTCGGAGCCGCGGGAGTTTTGTAGAGCCGACGGCTCCGTGCGTCCGTCGGCCACCGCTGCCCGCAGCGCTCCGGCCGTGCGGCTCCCGGCCGACGGCGCAGCCTCCCGCAGGGCTTTTCCCTCCTGGAGGACGCCTGCTTGCTTGCCCCGTCCGTTTCAATACGATCCCCCAGGGGCTTGGCAGTCCCTTCAGGGAGTTCGTCCTCCTTTGGGTTAACCTAGACGGCGGCCGTGCCCCGTGGAAAGAGCCGGTCGGTGTCGCCAGCAGCCGTCGGGAGCGTCCATGCCGTCGGGGAGCCGGACCGAGTCGCTCCCGGCCATGCCGAGCCAAACCAAACCTGCGGTCTCTCCGCTCTGGCGGCCGCCGGCGAGCCCCGCGGAGCTGCGCCCAGCTATGAGCCCGTCTTACCTGGGCGGCTTAGGCGGGACCCTCCTGCCCGGGGCTGGCAAGGTGCGCGGTCCGTGCCCCCTGAGCTGAGCAGCCCCACCCGGCCATCAGCTGCGGCCTCACTCCTGGTGTCCCACTCGTGGCTCCTCTCGCAAGAACGGCAAGCGAAGCCCGTTTCTGTCACCAGGGCTGAGACACAGCGCTGGGGAAACCTCCTTTTGCAGAGGTGGGGGCTCTGAGGCACCAGCGCGCGTTTGGCTCTCCCTGCTGCTGACAGGGCGCCGGGTTTAGTCAGGCGTTTGGTGAGCGGAGACTTTTGGCTGCAGTGCCAGTGTTCCCCCCGCCAACCTCAGCTGCCTCTGAGCGCAGCCCGGCGACCCGAGAGCTGCAGAAGCGCTCTGCTCCTGCCCCGCTCCTCTCTGAGCCCAGCAAGCCCGAGAATAACCAAGCAGCGTGAGCTGGGTCTGTGCTTAAGTGATAAAAAACACCGATGACCGTAGCTCTGCTCTTCTTTAGCATTCAGTGCCAAGCTGTGCTAAAACATTTTTTTTTTTTTTTTTTTTTTTTTTTTTTCTCTCGGCAATGCTACCCAGAAATGCAGAGCTTCTGCTGAAGACTCCCCTTTTCAGCACGCACAGCAGTGCAGAGAGAGCAGCAAAGCTATCCCCGTTTTTAGGGCTCCATGGGGAAATGCGTCTGAAGGGAGTCTGGCGCTAGGAAGCTGGGAGCTGTCAGGCTGCGTGGGTGTCTTCAGGCAAGGCAAACTCGGGTTTGGTACCAGCCATGCTCACCATGATGTTCAGCTTCCCTGGAGTCCCATAGGATGTCCTGTGGAAAAACCGTTTCTTAAACGAGGAATTCTCAAGGTTTCAAGGGTTGGTTGGTTTGTTTTAAAGTTGCTGCCTACACTCCATATACGTCTCAAAACCCCCTCATCTCTATGACTCTCAAAAAGAAATTTTCTGAAATGTAAATGTATCCAAATTCTATGAAACACAGATGTTAGTTTTACTGTCTTGATTTCAGGAAAAAACCTACAGTTCTCTGGGAACTGCCATTACCATGTTTTTTTTATATTTAAAAATACAGATCTATGAACTATGAAAACATTACATAAGAGTGTTTCTGTAATTCAGATGTAATGTGTGAGGCATAAAATTATTCTGATCCTCTGGGACATAAACCACTTCTATTTTTGCAGTAGTCAAAGGGATTGTGTTTTGTGTCTTTGGCTTGTATTTGGAGTCCACCAAATAATTTGTTTTGGGCTTTTTTAGTTCTTCATCAGATTATTTTTCACGTTTTCCGTGAAGCACAGGAGTCCATGGCTCATCATAATACTTTCCTAGTAAAAGGGGTTTACAGATGAAGTTACAGGCCCGCTAAGATCTGTGACAATTTTCCTGTATATTTCAACCAGGTTTCCATCCAGATCTTTTAAGTAAGTTGTGTTGAGCTAAAAATGTCAGTTGTAACTTTCTGACTCTGCCTACAAGCTCATAGGGAAATTCTGTCTATGAACTAACATGTGGAGATCCTTAATTCACAGCAGAAAATGTATAAATGAAAAAAATTACAGCTTAATTGTATGAAATAGTAAGCCTGAAAGCATTTACATTTCTCTATCAATAGCTGCTAGTATTAATCCACACATTTCTTAATCCGTTTTAGATGATGAGCTCTCAGGCTCTAGATAAACCACATATGAAGTGATATGAATGTTAGGGCCCAATTCTGCTCCTGTTTGAAGTCAGCAATAAAACTTCTTTTGGCTTTAGGACTAAGAGCTTACAGATGATGAAAAGTGGAACTCAGCAGTGAAATATGGAAAGAATAGAGTTTTGGACTATTGTGTTACTTTTAAAAAAATAAATATTAATTCTGCCATATCTCTCTGGATCTGAATGAAATGAGGGAATTGATTATTTTGGTTATGGTCATCTGTTTGTTCAAAGGATTCTCAAATGAATTCTCAAAATGATTTCTGGTTATGCCAGTGTAACAGCCAGTTAGTACCAAGTAATGAAAATTTTGCAGAAATGTGGAATATAAGCTTTTACGGCCTGATTCTCACAGCTGCAGAGCTATTGCTTCTGCAGAATTATGACTGTAATGAGGAGAAAAAGCATTTATTTCAGGAGAGAATTCTCTTCAGTAAAACTTTGGATATGGTAACACTGATTTCAGTTATTTCTACTGTCCTCTTCTGCTTCTTTCAGTAATAAGAAACCCTGTTAAGGAAATATTCACAACTGCTAACCCATAGATAGATGAACCACTTTACTTCCTAATGTAAGCAAAGGTGACATCTTCTCTCATAAGCAAAAGCATTGATTGCCCTGGGACCAGAGGCACTACTGCATTTTGGCTGCTTTCCTTCCTGAGGCATACCACCTCATTTTCCTTTGTGTTTTGCATTTTAAAACTTAAAATCTTAATTTGAAAATATTTTTTAAATCAGTTGTTAAAATAGATCCTGCTTAGCTGTTGTGGGGAATCTTGAAGTTCACACAGCCCCTTCTGTATTTAACCTGTATTTATCCCTAAATTCCTGGATTACTTTTAGATGCATGTTTTGGAAGTGACCATAACAAATGTGTCTGCTGAGTGGCTAATTTTCATTTGAGTTACAATTTCTTTTATGAACACGTAATGCAGCTTCCACCTTTAAGGCTGGAAACCAACTCAGTGAAAAATTACCTTCCTCCCAGTTTAGGATTACATTGAAACACATGCTTGCATTTCCTTAGGGATAAGCATGTGCTTAATAAAGTTGCATGAATCTGGGACACAGACCTTACAATAGTATATATTACTATGAAATTTCCCCCAAATTCCCAACCCAAAGCACACCTCATTTTTGTTGGAATTCTAGTCCATTGCATCTCTATGGGGGAAAAAAAAGAATGACAACAATGTGGAGGTAATCAGTTCTGAAAATAAAAGTAGTCCAGGAATATGCATGTTGGTGGAACCTCATCCAAGTAGTGGGACACTAAATAAAATAAACACCTGAAATTTTCTGGCACTGCTTACAACCTAGCAATTTATTTTCAACTTCATGTAATAATTTTTTTTCTTTTCTTTTAAGACTCTGGCACCATGTTGAGTAAATAAAGTGCATATTAAAATACTAGTGACTAGATAGTCACCAGAGAAATAAAAATAGTTTTGGAAGAAATCATTCTGATCTCTTCAGAGAATAAGCACTAGTTGATAATTCCTTGAAAACATATTTTTAAGACAAAATTAAAATGAAACTTGTTAAATAATATTCTGGTTTTAATAGAGATGAGGAAAAAACAGCAAATGTGAAGTCCAGGCAGACACTTGAAATTATGCTGCATTATTCCTTAATTGGAATTCCCAACTTATTTTTGTCTCCCTCAAAGCCTTAAGGTTATTAAAATTGTGTGTTCCATGCCATGTTTCATTTAGATACTAACAGCAGCCCTTCCAAATTGCCTGCTGGAGTCAGCAATTGTATCATTCTTACACGCCTTCCTTGAAGCATGAAGCTTCTGCCAAATGTAGGACATGCTGGTACTTAGATTACTGAAATGAATGCACACATCTATGATTTATCTAGGTGCTCTAGAGTTCTACTAGAGTTGATCTGCTGACAAACACTAAAAATATGAGACCCACAAGCATTCCTTGAATGTAGTGGAACCCCCTATGACGCTTTTCTGCTTCAGGAATTCCTCTCCCAATCCATTTGATGAGAAAGGCTGAACACCATAGCATTTATTTTCTCCATGTCACTGGGAAGACCTAGTAACTGAGAAATTAGCAGTTATCTTTTACAGCAAATAGTACTTACTCTGAGCCTCTGCTGGGTCTCTAGGTGGCCCTCACAGCACTGGCATTTGGCTGCTTTCCTGCCGAGTTGTGTTGTCTCTGGCAGAGCGGATGAAGCCGTCCAGCACAGTGCCATGGTTTCACATGTTTCTCGGGGAGGAACACAAGCAGGACTCTTCAATTCAAATGCTGTTTTTTTCCATACTGATAAAGCTACTCAAATAAGGGATACAACTACAGCACCCCAAGCAGGTAGAAAACAATGACTTCCTCAGCATTTTTTTTCACAGTCCTTTCCCTTTTTAATGCCTGTGCCTCTTCACAATTTTAATGTTTTACAGCGTTTTTTTGCAATTAGTTGCTCATTTCTGGTGCCTTCTTCCATGCTCCCATGGGGAGGGTCCCTCAGAGACTTATTCCCTCATCTGTTTGTCTTGCTACCATATAGCTCCTTTCAGAAAAACTTTGAGGCCATGGTGTTTCTGGAAGGCGGAAGCTGATGAGTTTCTTCCCTGCTGGTTGGTGTTTTCAGCTGACTGAACAGCTTCAAGAACTCAGAGATCTGGGAAGCAGCAGAAATGGTGAAATAAGTGAGGAAAGAAAGACTGTTCCTACTTAATAATTAGGTTTGGAGCAGCCATACAGTTTTGAAAGACCTGGTCATGTCCTCTTAACTGCACTTCCTGAAGTGGTCTTTTGTTGTGTGCACAAACTCTATGATGTTTAATGTAATTTACAAAATTCTGCCATCCTCCAACAACATCATTCTGTGTAAAATGAAAAAAAATTCAGGGATCTGAAAAATTCTTAGCACTGTGATTGCATCTGTATTACTTCTAACAAGGATTCAGAGTAATGTGCGAGAAGACGTAGTTTGAAATGGTAAGACGCATCTCTATTTAACCTGTACCTAAATATTGTTTTATGTTAGTTGCCTGACTTGCACATCTCTCAGCTTAAGCATCATCACACTCAGATATGTTGGACCCCTTTAGAGGTGCAGTGTGACAGAGGTTGGGAAGCTGGAAAACTACGGGTGTATACAACACATGCATTATATACTGGATGTACATTATACAAGGAGCTGTATAAAGTTTCTGAGTCTGATTAAGGGACATGAATCTAGACTACGTCTGCTGAGACAAGGACTTTAGCCCTCTGGTATTGTGGATAGCTGTGTCATGTAAATGAATCCTTGTGTAATGGAAAATTTGTTCTTCCACTGTTGTAAGGCAGGAGCAATCTTCCTATATGTCAGTAAGCTATAAAAAGGGAAGGAGAACTAGGGTGATGCACATGGAGAAAAGAGCTGGAAAGAGATGGAGGACACACAAAAAAAATTCTGTCTGGGCTTATTTTGATCACTCTATTTGAAAGCTTTTATCTCTTGGTAGTTTGGGAACAGCTTTCTAGCTGTTCAGGGTACAGGCTTGAATGCTTATAAGTGTGTGTGCACTCATTTCTTTCATGGAACTGAACATTTACTGCATGTTTGGCTTCTGTTGATATCTGAAATCCACAACTGTGCTTTATTTCCTCAACTTTCTTCATGCAGGATGGTCCGCACACTGTATGCCATCGGTGCCTTGCTTCTTCTAATGGGATTTCTGCTACCAGCAGCCGAAGGGAGAAAGAGGAATCGTGGATCTCAAGGTGCTATCCCTCCTCCTGTCAAGGATCAGCCCAATGATTCAGAGCAAATGCAGACACAGCAGCAGTCAGGCTCCAGGCACCGGGAGCGAGGGAAAGGCACCTCGATGCCTGCTGAGGAGGTGCTGGAGTCCAGTCAGGAGGCATTGCACATCACTGAGCGCAAGTACCTAAAGCGGGACTGGTGTAAAACCCAACCCCTCAAACAAACTATCCACGAAGAAGGCTGCAACAGTCGTACCATTATCAACAGGTTCTGCTATGGCCAGTGCAATTCTTTCTATATCCCCAGGCATGTCCGCAAAGAAGAAGGCTCCTTCCAGTCTTGTTCCTTCTGCAAGCCCAAGAAATTCACTACCATGACTGTTACACTCAATTGCCCCGAGCTTCAGCCCCCAAGAAAGAAGAAAAGAATCACCCGAGTTAAGGAGTGCCGGTGTATATCTATTGACTTGGACTAAACTGAGAAAAAGTAGCAATTGCACTCTTGACTGTATGCAATCACTGCCAGCGTGAGAGTGAGTGGCAAAATCTAGCCCACCTTCAAGGCTGGGCACAACTGAAAGGGACCTAGTGAATTACCTAAAACCAGCAAAACCCCCCAAAAAGAGAGAAAAAATTCATGTACGGAAAGGGCATGCATGTGTGTGTGTGTGTATGGAAAAAAATGGATATGGATGAGCAAATGCATGAATGTTTGCGACAAAAAAAAAAAGGAACAGGGGTATGAGACGTTAAAAAAACCCTTAATTACCCATAGTCATGAATTAGGTTTCCTAATTCATGTGTATATTCACATTTTTGCCGCTTGCTGGGGAAATGGAGCTGTGGCTTTTGCAAATGTTCACCTTTGTGCTATTTGCTTTTACTGTATTACGTGAAACATCAAAGTGAGAGGACAATATATTTCAAAGCATGAATCTGTTCTTATATAAGAAATAGACAAAGAGCAATAACAAAGTGTAGCACAGCCATCACTGAAAACAGAAGCTCTGTCAAGAGTTTGTAACACCCTTCTTCAAAAAAAAATCGCTGTAATCCAAAAGCCGTGTCTGGAGAACAATGGGGGGATGTGGGAGTGCTGAAAAGTCAGTATAGGTGGATGGGAAACATCTACAGCAACTTAGAAAGCAAAAGGTCAAAGCAAGTTGACAGGGAGAGTACAAAAGGGAGTAGAGAAAGGGAAGATACATAAATAGGAAAACACAAAGGAAGAGATATTGTCTTCTGTTTACGTTTTGCTTTAATTTATATACCTAGTCATCATATATTACATAAATTAAAAAGCAACTATATACAAGGCTATAAATATACTTCTGAATTCTGATGGCTCTCTAAACCAAACAAAACCCATTCTTACGCCACTAGATCCATTTGATGTCTTGTGTTTCTGATATCAGTTATTCTTCATATCTACATATTTATGTATATGCAGTATCTTTTAGGCAGTGGTATCTGTACACACATGCAATGAGTGTGCCTACTTCATTGTGTGTGTCCAAACTCCTCTTTTTCACACACATACATAACCACAGCACAAAAATCTTGCTAACCAAGATCAAGTACAGAATGGCAGTAATTTAGTACATAAAGAGCAGAGCAAAAATTAAAACAAGCATCATGTGACTGCAAATGCAATAACCACACAAGAGACAAAAGACATGACATTCATGACTAGTAAACATTGCATTGTTATTGTTATTTTAGCTTTGCCACAGGCATGCAGTTTGTTGAAACGGAGATGCAGAACTTTGCCAGCAATGATCCTCTTTTTATATCTTTTACCACAGACTTGCATTTAAACTGGATTTGGAGCAAGTAAAGAGAATTTCCTGAAAACTTAGGGCTGACTGTCCCTCTCATTTGGGGGGAAAAACCATAAAAGGGGACACACTTCTTCCCACAGCTTGATGGCTCTCACCTGTGAGGTTATCTTGTCTTTTCTTTCCTTCAGGCTTAGGAGTTCAAAACTGATCAGGGCTGTAAAGTTTGGCAAAAGCACAGAAGCTCCTACAAGAAAGATTAATGAGGTGTGTCCTGGGGATTGGAGCAGAGAGGCAGCCCATCCGTGCATGTTGCCAGGGCTATCCTGAGCACTCGATGGTCCACACTTACTGTATGATGAGCCTTTGAGAGCCCAGGACCCAGTTTCCCTGCTCAGCAGCAATATTCTCTAGCATCCACTGTCAGTATAACTGTTCTCTCTCACACTAGATGCCTCTCTCAGCCACAAGGTGATTATTTTGATATCATTTCTTGCCATAGAATGTTAAGGAAGACAATCATGCCCTTAGTAACATGCCCAAAGCAACAGTGTATCATGAGTGGCATGTCACAGATGTGTCCTATGTGGCCTCATTTTATCAGTTGTCCCACCTGTCATATAGTGCATCACACATTTATTGGCGATATCCTGTATCTCTCCAACTCATACATTTTTGCTCTAAAATCCACTGCTGTGAGGTTTCTGTTTGCAAAATTAAGTGATTACAACTCATTTATTGGTATTATTAAAATGCATTTCATTCGGTGTACTCTCACTCAGCAGTCTGACGCATGTCTTCATGGATTTTAAAATCCAGTTTTAAAATCTGGAATTATAGGAGGTAGGTTTCCACTGTGTGGAATGTGAATAGTTAAACAGAAAGATATGGATATTTAATGTTATTTTTAATACAAATTCTCTTTCACTGATAATAGGCAGGGAATGTTTTCCTTTAAATAACTTTTTTGATTTTTTTTCCCAGGGGAAAGGGCCACCCTCAGCCATTGCTGGAAATTTTATACTATTTTATACTATGCTTGGGTTTCTGTTCAAGAAATCTTGTTTTTTCTTTAATGGGAACACCTTGTGAATTATTTCTTTCTTCATGTAAAGTTGACAGCAAAATTCACATTTTCTTTGACAGAGACTGGTATGTCCCTAACCCCTCAGCTGTTAAGCAAAGCTTCAAACAGTAGTGACTCCTTTAAGTTTTGTTTAGAATTCTCAAGGAAAATTGATAAAAGTATTCCAAATCTTTACGTTCTAAAACTGCCTGTGCATAGATCATGATGGAACTCCCCTTGAGGCAGATCCCCCTCACCCATGTAAATTTTTTACAAAGAACTTCTATGAATTGCTAGTTATTGCCTGAGAGTAAGAAAGTTCTGCTAACTTACAATTATATGAGATATTTAATATCAACCACAATATGTATTTAAATGTCTGCTTTATTCTAAAAACAATGGACTATATAACCTAAGGCTGCAGTATTTTCATGCTCAGTCTCACAAAGCAAAACTTGGTTTAAAATGAAGTTTTAATTATTTTGTAACTGAATAGAATTGGAGTTTTTTCTTCCCAGCATTTTGTACATCATTTTAACTACTAGTAACAAAAAAATAAAATATCTTCTCCAGCCTGTGTCTATTGTTGTTTGTTTTTTGGTTTTTTGTGGGTTTTTTGGTTTGTTCTTTTTTTTTCCCCCTTCCTTAAGTTTCCAGCTCTTTCTGAATCTGTTGTACTTTATCCTGACTTTTGTGGTTTCTTCTAATTATAAAAGGCTTTACATTATGACAATAAGCCATAGAGACAAGCAATGGCACCATCATTCAACACGGCTACTTCAATAAGGTTTTTAAATGAGATCTGTCACTTCCCCCTCACCCTTCCACAATTTATAGAAGGAAAATCTCAGTCTTTGCTCACACTTTTCCCCTTGTAAACCATATAGTGACAGTTCAAAATATAAATCAGCCTTGAACTGTAGAGCTGAAGTTGGAGTTGGCCCGCCTGCCTTACGCCTTATCTCAGTTTAATGTCTGGCTAGCAGTTTAGTCCCACTTCTAGGAAAACGGAGTAAGGAACACCTTTACAATACAGCATATTACAAGCTGCAAATAGGGACCGAGGAGATGAAAAATAATTATTAAAAAAGAACAGGAAGATTTGTCACTGCTGACAGCACATGCAAGGACAGGGTTGGGGAAGGACTGCAACCAGAGAGAACAGATTTCTTCAAACTTTCCACCCCTTTTGGTTTAGTCTTCCTTCATGTCTAGCTTGGTCATGCTTCTAGAACTTACTGAAAAGACAATAAAGTTAGCTAAGAATCATTATTTTTGGAAGGCAATTGACTGTTTCTGGTCTGAGATATGGGCACAGTTGAGCAGAATAAGTTTCCTTGAGAAGCTGTGCATATGTATCTTTATTTGAACATTTAAACCAGAGAAGAACCTCCTGGGTTTAGCTTTCTAGTGCTCCATGACACCACGGTCTAACTATTTACATAGTAACATATAATTTCATTATGATTTATATTTGTCCTACACACCAGCTTTGAATTGAAGATACCTCCCATGTGCTTTATAGTTACACTGATCAAAAGAAGGTAAGAGAGAGAATTCACACACCTTGATCTGCTGTCAGGGATGCAGACAGAAATAAGAGCATCCTCTTCTCTGTCCCCAGCGAGACAGGCTGGATCTCTGCGTGTGCTCTGCTGTCCATGTGCTGTGCTGATAATTCGCACCCGCCTTGTGAGACTGAGGCACCAAGAGACGCTGGGTTTGCGGAGCGAGCGCTCCCATCTGAGCAGCAGATGTGCACAGTAGGGACAGTTGGGTCAGCTGGACAGACAGCACCATGGCTCTGCTCCAGCTGCCTGGCACCAGCAGTGCCTGGCTGGGAACAGGGATCTTGTCTTTGCAAAAATGATGTGGTAGCTTCACCTTGTAATTTACCTTCTCCTGAGTGAAAAAAACCCAACAAGCCAAACAAAAAAACCCAAACCCAAAATCAACAAAAAACCCACCACCAAAACAAAACAAAAAACACCCAAACAAAAAAAACAGAAAGGAGAATTAGAACTGTACCCTGGGGGCTGATGTTCGTTTTCCACTGTAGATGTAAACCTACAGGTTTTAGTTCCAATAGGTTTCCTGAAGGAGAGTAAAAAAGTGAAAAAAAACTTAGATCTTATTCACTCCAAATAACTCAAACCTGCCTTAGAAACCACTTCATTAGTTACTGAAATACAACAGTCAATTTTGGCAGAAGAACATCCAAAATTTTTTTTGGGCTATCCTGCTTACCTGCATGCTTGCAATGCACTAACCAAAGGGGAGAGCTGCATAATTTAAATTTTAAGGGAGTGAACATATTTGTAGTTAGCCAAAACAATGGAGCTATCACTAATGCTCCAACAGTAGAGGTGGTTTTTTAATAACCATCGTATTTATTTTTTTTTATCAGCTGAGACTGAAACCAGAAATTTCCAGCAATGCACAAGTATCACAAAGAATCCCAGTGCAGATTTTTGATGCTACCTTCATCTACATAATGCATCTACATAAAAACGTCTGAAGCCTCTCTGCACTGCCTACCTGGGAATGTAGCTGATGACTTTAAGGTGCTTTTTCCCAATGTGTGGCTTCTGGCTGCCTGAATTCTTCCTCTGGTTTCATGGGTCTGGGTGGAGGAGTACAGCTTTAACTGAGGAGACAGTTTTAACTGTCACTTGCTCTCTGTCCTATTAATTTCTAAAAGTTTTGAAAATAAAATTCAGAATAAATTTTTGGTATTTTTAATAATCAAGGAGCAAGATATGAGTAA